CTTCTACCCAAAAGACAGCGGAACCGTCACCCCTGTCGACGATTAGTCATTAACCATCGACAGCCTTGACAAATAGTCGTCGTTCGAATTTATTAAATGCGACCAGGAATGGCCTCGAAACACGATCTCGTGAAATCTGGAAATTCTTCTCGTAGTAATCGAAATCGAGGGCTGCTGAAGAAATAACGCGACGTGAATTTTTAGGGAAGATCTGATTGGGAAGATTAAAAAATTTAATGAAAAATTGTGAAAAGAAATATTTTGGTAGGAAACGAACCTCGTTTCTAATTACCTTCTCATCAGATTTCTCCCATCTTGTTGATAATATTTGTTAATCGTTGATGACGTAAGTTCCAACGAAGATACTTCTCTGTTGAACGATATGTAATAAACGTATAAGAAATATTTTAGACACATACATATGTATGTTCTTACCTATGATCCTGCTTGGAATTTCGTCGGACAGTGGAATTAATTTTCCAAAAAGTCTTTGACGCTTTATTTTTTTGAAGATTCTGACTATTTCGTCTATCCGTTTCACCTGCAAAAAAGTAATGACTATCAAAACAAGAACTACTTCCAACCCTCAAACGATTGATTCAAACAAATAACTATACGTGCCAACTTACGTTACATCACTGAAATTTTGCATATCGCATTTAATTTTACTCTCTACTATATACGGAATTAAATTAAAAAAAAAAAAAATTCCGAAATTAAGTGATTCAATCCCTGAAATTTCTATTCATACCGGCCGCGAGTTAAATTCACGAAACACAGGATCAAACACAAAAATACAATGTTGATAACATCGAATTAATTGACAACCCGTTGAATTATAGAACTGCCAATCTCCATGGAAAAATCGAATGGGGGAACGTTTCGCATTTTCTAGCGAGGCCAGGGATCAATCTCTTTAATCATGCATCGTCTAATTACTTTGCCGCGGTATGAAAGCGGCTCGATTGATTTTTGATTAAACCGTGCGCGATTTCATCCAACGTGGCGTGGCGTACGTACCGTACGTACATATGTACAATCGCCTGGATTCCGGCCTGGTGCGCGCGAAATTTTATTCGCGTCTGGCCTGGCCGGCGGCCTTGCATAATTGAAAGCTCGCGGAACGTTTCGCGCGCGATTCGGTCACCAGCATTATTCGCAACCTGTCGACGAGTTGAAACGCGATCCGCTTCAGCCCGTGTAAACTCGATGTTCCTATCGGACCGCGGCGATCGTTCTCCGGTTACGTGAATTAAGAGCAACTCGTCACGTTCCCTGTGTACATTCTGCGAACATCGTTCGCCGACACATCGGGTCAGCGATTCCTTTTTCGTTCCTGTTTCTCTTCGGGGGCTTGGATGAAATTCGACAATCCCGCGCACGCGAAAATATGCAAGAGAAACGCGACGTGCAGCGATACGTGTGTTGAAAGTTGGTGACTGGAATTTGATCGTGTCAGGAGTTCTTGGCCGATATTTCCGGAACAACTGACGAATTTCGGGGAAACTCTTGGTGGAATTTTATGACAAACGTTGTTGGAAGTGCCGAGAAAGATATTCGATCTTTGCTCCAATGATTTGACTTTTTTATCTTACGTGTGAATTTACTTATGATCGTTGCTATATTTAATGAAATGTTCACTTAGAAGCTTGCGGTAGGACAAATGTAAAACGAGTTCCGAGTTACTGGATGTAATTTCCTAAACAGTTCTTTTCTTTCGAAACACCTGATATTTTGACTTGTCACGATCCTGCGAAGAATGATGGCACAATACCTATTTTCTTTACTGGGGGATATCGTTATTGCGATTCACGATTTTTCACAGTGAATAATTCCGTGGGGAGCAAGTATTTCGATGAGTGGAATTAAAAAGGAAAAAAAAGGAAAGAAAGAACCGCAAGGAATCAAACGTCACGCGCAAACCGCATAGCTGGAGGGGGCGTTTCACCCTCGTAGCCAAAAATCACATTCCTGCCGACCCCTCGAATTACTGCGTGGTACCGCGTCGAATTCGCATTCCCATACGCACGCCAACCCACGTACAGTCCCCGGCAATAATTGCATATCATTCTACCAAGGGGGGCAAACTTCGCCTCGAAAAGAGAAAAAGAAGAGAGAAACTTCCGCCGATATGCAGATTCATTATCAATCTGTCGAAACGATCGACAACGTCTTCTTGTTTAATAAAATTTGGCAGAAATCGAAAGGGAGAAGGAGAAATGAAATTTTCTTCTCCCTTGGGAGAGAGAAAGAATTCTAGTACATTCAAATTCTTTGAATTCTTTCGTTACCCTGATCAAGATTCGTGAGTTTCCGATCATTACTTGAAAAATTGAAACATCTAACAATTACCATTTCTGTTATAACTCTATTAGATTGCAATAATGTGATGAACCATTAGAATAAACGTTGCAAAGTATCAAAAACCGTATCCCGATTCTTTCACAGACCACAAGTTACAGATTCCAAATATAAATAAATATCTCGCAAAGGAGTAGAACAAACTTGGCGACAAAAGAATCTAAATTACACAAAAGGCAAATTTAACAAATTGCAAATTGGTCGTCAACTTATTAAACGAAATAAAATTGCAAAAGAGAAAAGACTATAATCTATGTAGCTCGTAACTGGTTAATTTATTGACATTACCGGTTAGTAAATGACCCTGTCCGAGAACGTGGGACAAACTGTTGTATTATTGGAAAGGACTGTACGTAAAGACACGAGTTACCCAGAGCACACGAATAGTCACGCAAGCTGCGTGCATGAATGCGTAATGCCAGCGAACAGTGATTTCCACCCTCGATGACCGCGGTCCTCGCCGCCCCTTTCCACAACCAGATGGGGTTCTCACGAGTCACCCTTAATACCGCTCATAATCGGGCCCGATAATACTTGCTTGTCACAACACGCAAACAATAGCCCGCGGCCGATTGAAAAATCAAAGGATTAGATACTTGTGATCTTTTTGGCGATCGTGGGGGAGGGGAGGTGGTTTCACGTTCGACAGATAAAGATGACGTTACGAAAGGATGTTGTATCAGAGGGTGTAACGAGCAAACAAGACTTCCTCCCGGCGATCCAATTTGATTCAATAAAATATTTATGTCCCTTCGTCGGCGAAGTAATTGGCTGGAAATAAGAGAAGGGGTGCGTTTTATGTATTATTCAATTGATCTGAAATAAACACCCTCGCCGTTGCCGGCGTTTCCTGAATTATTTCGATAATATCGATTTTTAAAAGAAGGCTAATACATGACCAAGTGAAAATTGACAGGATAGAAATTTTCTGTCGCTATGAGAAGATCCAGAGAGTTATCTAATTCTCGAAACATTATAACAGTAAACGCGTCTAAAGAGAAAAAGAGAGGAAACGAAACGTCGTCGTACGGGCAGAAAGTGCCGAAGAATCAGCTCGGATCGTGTTAACGTTTAGCAACAAGTGAAACGTCATAAGTAATTCGTAAAATTCAACGCGCGATATCGTCAAAGAGCAACGACGGAAAGTTGACACGACGATGGGGGAGAGACGCGAACGCGACGCCGGCTTCAACGTTGGAAAAATTGCCCCTGGAATTTCGCGACGCGTCTCTCGACTCGCGGCAAGGACAGCCCGTCACATTTTTATCTGTCCCCGCGTGCTGTGTAACACGGAAACGTTCTGCCCCGTGGTTGAAAGAGAGTGTCGGCTGACACGCGGTTTAATCGGCGATACACAGATGACAATAACTCGCTGAAACTCGCTGTGTGTACTCGCTGCGTTTGTTAAATAAAACGGAGAAACACGAGGGGGGGTGGGAGGGGACGTGAGAGGGAGAGAGGGAAGAAAAAGAGCGCGCGACAGAGCGGTAGAAGGTAGAAAAAGAATACGTGGAAGTGAATCGAAAGAGGGAGAAGGGTGTATCGAATAAATTTCCCGCGTCCCCGTGGATAATGTATCGTCCAGCGAATGAATGGCCGACGAAAGCGGTGGCTCGTTTTATTATAAAACCACGCCGATGCAAATAAATTTATCGACACACGTCCTGCGCGTCGACGAGCGTCCGCGTCGCACCTTGTCATCGTCTTTGTTCCGCCGTTCCACGTCCACTCTCGACTTTGTCGGCCCGATAATGACCAGTTATTGCGCTGGCTACTTTCGCGAACGAGTCCCGTTGTTTTTTTTTTTTTTTTTTTTTTTATCGGTATCGGTTCCAGGGATTTCCTGGAACCGATACCGGAAACACCAACGATTGATAACCGAACAGATGCGTTCGACGATAATTAATATGAGAAAGAGAGCGCCCACTGGAATCTTCGATTATAGGATTCAGCCCCGCAATTTCACGCGCCAAAGTATGATATCGGGGCGTGGTTTCCTTGATACCAGCGGAATTCGTACGAGCCTGCCATTCGTTTCCATCCAGATATTTTTCAACGCGATAGTCATCGTTATTTGCGCCTTTCATATCGGAAACGTAAAATTAAATGAGTGCGCTGCGGTGACTGCTGGCACCAGCTGCGTTTCGGATATATGTATATTTTTACTGACTGTGAGCCGAGGCGTTTCATTAATTTTATGCAGTTTTACGCTCGCGATATAAAACGGTGATTCGGTTTCAAAGTATCCCATTATTCACACGGCCGTTAATTTGTTTCTCTCGACAGCGTGATTGAGGATCGCGCAGAGAAAATACGACGTGTTGACGTTTGTTAACTTTCTTTGCAACACTTGCGTGATGGTTGAAACATAATATTTTGGTGAAACAGTTGAAAAAGAGAATAATGCAACCGACTCGTTCGCACGAGTAATATTTTTAGTTTGACTGAATCTTGATCTAACGCAGGCGTGTTCAACGTTCTTAACGTGTTTCAAGTATTTCGAGCATCCCCCTCATGCCTCTCGTTAACAAATTTAATAATTTAATAATGACCTACGACTTGCAAAGCAAAACTGTAGCTTTCGACCAGGAGATCTCGTCGCACGAAATTAACTGTATTTTTCTGTTTCTGTTTCGCAGGACGGAGAGCGACCGCAAAATGTTGAATCCTGAAACCGGCTGTTACTCGGAGTCCGTACGGGCATGGTGAGTAACGCAATCAGATCAAAAGGAAAAAAAGAAAGAAAAAAAAAAAAAAAAAAAAAAAAAAAAAAAAAAAAAAAAAAAGAAATCGGTATTGGGGGGTTAATTTACGGGACGCGTAAGCGCAGCCAGGCGCTCGTCGCAAGAATGTGTCTACGTTCGAGCCGGCCATAGCTCGCCTCTAATCTCCCTCGAATATCTTGGCTCGCGTGCCGCGCGTGTTCTCATCAACGCGTAATCTTAATTAAGTACAAATCGCTTCGTGTACGACGACGCGCCGCGCGTCCAGCTACCAGCATACCTTCAGATAATCGACCGTTTAACTTCCTTTCCTTCTCGCCGCGTCTCTCGTTCGCCGCATTTTACTCGGCGAATAATCCTCCCATTATCTCGATATCATTGCCAGCCACTGTTACTACATATTGTTACTATATATTACGCATTACGCAATATCGCTAAAAGTTGTAACGCAGTTGTTACTGCACAATTATCGAGAATCGGATACTCCCTTGGTTGATATAACGTCACCGATATCGGAATCTCTGATTTATCAGAGACCGCGGGCTTTCTCTGTAATTGTTACGTTGTGCTTCTATTTCGAGTGCCGGAGTGAAAGGATCCCGATGCGCGTACATGTAATTTCTGCAAGAGTAAAGGAACTCTTTGTGTGTCAGGTCAGGCCAGGCTGAACTTCGAGCGTTAACGAGACGCGAATCGATTCCTCCGAGAGTCAACCTAACTTTTCTCCACGTTCGCTACATCTCTCTTTTTTAATAATAGATATACAAACCACTCTGACTCAGCGGATTCCAAGAAATAAAAAGTACAAAATACTCTGCAGTCGGATCGATTTGATATCGAGAAAATCGTAAACAGCTCATTAGCTCATCGAGCTCGACGTCAGCAGGTAGTTCACGCGTGATACTATACTTACATTAACACCTCCGGCTACGTCGTGGTTCACTGGAAACGCGAGCTTTTTGCGCGCAAACGTCATGGAGCAAACAAACAACGGAAGACACGTCGCGTGAGGATTTATTTAACTCGACACGTTGTTCTTCTTCTTCTTTCGCGCTCTTCCGTTTTTCAATCTCGTCCTCATCTTCGTTAACGATACGGTGTCTTCATTGGCAGCGTAACGATCCGTCGTCAGTCTTTCGTAATACCGTTATCAACACTTAAGCGGCCACAAGTTCTTTTTATATTCGGTCGAAGACTCCGAAAAAGAAAAAAAAAGATGTCAAAGTCTCTTTCACCGACGATTAAACGTGGGATAAAAGAAGCAGTTGAAAAATTCGTTATTTAAATTGAATCATTAGCGAGGGCTCGTAGCCGCGGTCAACTGGATTCGGCGGCGCTGGTTTCGGCTTAATTGAACGATAATTCGCGGAACGGCGCGTTCCGTTTTTTCGGCGAGAAAGAGACAGAAAGGGGACGAGAGGCGTAGTTTTCGCGTGGCGAACAGCAACCGACCGGATCAGCCGTAAATATGCTGGGCAAGGAAACAAACAGGGCCGCGATTCAGTCCAAATTGCGCGCATGAATTTTAACGAACGGTGGTCGGCCGATTTTGCACACGGCACACTCGAAATATCGAGCCGATTTTTCATAATTCAACCCGTGACCAGGCGCAAAATTCAATCGGTCCGCGCAGTCAGCCCCTTCCCTCTACCACCCCACCCCCCCTATCCTGCTTCCTCTCCCCCTCCCACCCCCTCGCGCCGCCTGTTATTTCCATGCTGGTTTTCGTGTTTTTGCCATTATGCCGGCAAAGGTAATTTCCCAGGCCCGACCGCTACTGATGTATTTATAACGAAACGAATTAAACTCGCCGGCCAGCGAATAGGTAACAAAACGCTCCCGTCGGCCCCCGCCGAACTCCTCTCTCCGTCCCGAAAATAAAATACCCAAATATTTGCCGGTTTAATTTGAATCACGCACGGCCGGCCGGGCCAACACGCTGCCAAGCTTAATAATGAAATGTCGTATTGTGACGCCAAGGGATTGTCGAACAAATTCTCCCTCTCCCCTTCCCCGCCGCCGAGTCTCTGTTTTGAAAAATTTTCTATGCTTCAAAAGGATAGGATAGGACTCGAAGGAGTCGTTGACTTAGTAGCACTTTCGATTCGCAAAAGTTTCTTTTAGCTTTGTAATTTTTCTTTCTTCCTTTTATTTTTCTTTTTTCTTTTTCTTTTGACGTATATGGATTTTCACGAACAGGCGAGAAAATGAAATTTACTTCCGAGTTAAACTTGTTAAAATAATCAAACACAGCGAGAAAAAAAAAGGAGACATTCGACATTTTCGCGATTCTTCTAATTTTCGAATCTCGTTCGAATTTTTAACCATTGAACTTTCCAGACTTTTTAAAATTGAACTTTCAGATGTTTAGTAGAATTTTTTTTTTTCTTTTTTTTACTAAAATGACGTATTAAAAACTTGTTGCAGTAACGTCGTCGTTTATTGTAAATGCGCTTTTTATACTACGAGCAGACATTCAGAGGGTTAAGGAGAATGTTCGCACGAGAGAGTAGAGGCTCTCGGGAAAAGTCTCTTAATGGACCACGCGTCGTTTGTATATATTCGTTCATATTAGCGAGACAACGAGCGGAATGGAAGGCAAAGAAATATACTAGGCGAGTTAGTCGGGAGGGCGATTTATCCGCAATCGCGGCGTTGCTTTTCTCGGGACATTAGGGACACGATCACCGGTCGGAGAAGGATCGTTGGCCGGGGTGCCAGAAGGAGGGTTGGGCCTTAATGCGATTAAGGTCGTTATCAGATGTCGCCGGCGTTTCTTGCGCGATGACGTCGACGTGCTCGTTTGTCATCGCGCGACGTCGTCACGGGGGTTGCATGATTTACTTCCGTTTCCCTCCTTTCGCGCCTTTCGTTTCCTGTCGGCGATTTTCTTGCCACTGCCTCGCGCCTTACGTGCGATTCAATTTTACACGCGATCCTTTAACCCGCGAGGGTCTCTCTCGTCTTCGAAAATTTTTACAACGTAATGCAAATGAAAATGTAATCTAGAAATCACGTATCGATCGTTCGAATCTCCTTCGCGTCTTTGTCGTATCAAATCAGTCTGTTTCTCTTGGCTCTTAAATTTGTTCAATTGCATGCAGGAAAAGGAAACAGTTCAAAGTTCTCTCACAGAATCGTCGGCAAAGTTAAAGAAGCAGAAGAAGAAGAGAAAATGGGATTGGAAACGCGCGACGCGGAGAATCGATTTAAAAAGGGCCGCGTGCGACACGCGGCCGGACATACGTGTCAGGAGGCATTTCGAGATTCGTTAAGCCTCGTCGTCGACACCCACCCTCGCGTAACGTCGGCTGAACGTCGCATTTGCTTCGAAGAATGGGCACTAAAGTCGTCGAAGGGCGGGAAAAGAAAGAGAGAACCGAGACTGGGGGGAGAACGAGATTTATTCCAGAACGAGGAAAAGAGAGATAGGAGAAGAATGAAGAAAAAGACGTTTCTTTGGTGGTCAGGTTGCGAGACGAGGGTGTGGCCAGGAGATAGGGATGATTAGAAGCTACACCCTCCTCTCCCTCATCTTCGAAGGCACGAGCCGAGGGCGGAAAATTCATGGAGTTACTTAGCAGTCTTCCAGGCTTACTCGTTTATCTTGCCACCGGGGAGGAGAAGGAAGTCGTTACGTCGTCGAGAGGCCGCCCCGGGGTCGAGGCTGTAATCCTAATTAATAATTAATTACCACGGTAGGGGAATAAATAGCCGATTGAATTCTTCCTGCGCCAAGGGAGGGGCTTGATTTATCGGGACGATTTTACTCTACGCTCGAGAACTCGGGGATAACGAAGCCTCCGATCCATTGGAGACATTGTTCTTCCCGTTTTCCACAAATCAGATCCAGTCGAATCGTTTAATTATGACGGTGTATTGAACGACGCGTAGAGCACGGGGTAGAAAATCGTTCGCGTCGAGCAGAGTAATTTGCCTCGTAATTCGCTAAATTTCATTTTGATGCGATCCAATTTGAAAATAGATTATTAAATTTGTTATCAGCGAAGTAGAATTTTGCCAGGATATTACTATTTTAGTAATTACTGTTCATTGACTATGGAAGGAAATTTGTTCAAACAATTATAGTTATTATAATTCTGTAACATATACGTATCTATTGCCTTAATTTCGAAAATTATTTGTCCGAATAATTCTCTCTTGAAACCATTTCTTGGAACTTGGGAGAAACTTATGAAAATGAGACTTTTCTAGTGAAACAACAAATACAAGATATCAAACTAATCGTAAGAATCTTCCTTTTACAAATCTTCCTATTTACAAAGAAACAAGAAAAATCAGCGAGACCCAGTAATATAGAAAGAGTAACAAACCCGCAGAAGGTATTTCGCAAGGATTTCTCTCGCAGAAATCTATCATCGACGATAAATTCCACGAGGACGTCGCAATAAATAACTATGCTTTCCCATTTGCCGTGCTTTTCGAGGCTTCTCCTTGGGAAAAAGTTGGTCAACTTTTACGAGGGTTTACGAGGCTCACGTTAGCTAGAAGGGAGACAGAGAGAAAGAGAGAGAGAGAGAGAGAGAGAAGAGATCGTTCGTTTTGGTCTTTCAGGACCTTCGGAGATACTTCGGTAACGTGGACGAAAGTCGTCCGCGTGTGTTCGTACGTGGCTGGCTCCTCCCAGGAGCAGCCCAGTTTGTCAAGATGACCCTCCGGTGTTGCTTACAAGACAGCAAATTTGTCTGAGATAAGCAAAACAAACAAAATGGACAAGTCCTTTGCTTTCGTCCTTCCATTTTTTTATTTCCTTCTTCTCTTTTTCTTTTTTACATCGTCCGTGTCTCTGGCGGATTCCTTTGAACAGGAGGATGCCACCGGAAGGGTTTAATTGGTGGTTCGCGTTTGATCAGAGGATTTCGCGTTTCCACGGATCCGTTTGGACGCGTCTGTCGGCTCTCGTCTCCTCCCTTTCAACTGCGCGTGTCTTTTAAAAATTCTTTGGAACAGATCAATCTCAA